GGAGTATTTGGGCGAGCTTTAATAGCTAAGATTTGGATGTTTTTAGGTAAGTGGTTAACTCTTCTCTCCTATTTTGCGAAACCCATGAATAACCTATTTTGAAATCTCTACTATTTTGAATACCCATTTTAGGGTTAGTATGAGTTTAAAATATTTTGGGCTATGATATGTTTTTTGGTCTGAAAATACTGAGCTATGTATTCTGAAGCCTGGATTAAAATTGTTAAGCTGTATTCGGGATTGAATTTGTTTTTGGATCAGTCGGACTGTGTTTTAGACTGGAATATGATGGATTCTGGACGTAAGTTTTCACTATGTGTATTGATGGTGGATTGGTTAAGGTGTTGCTGTGTAAGTGGATTGTTATGGGTTCAATTTTACCTGCTAGCATTCTATGTGTTTGTTTTGTATATATTATGCTTACAAAATGGATTATTTATTTAAATAAAAGTAAGATTGAACCCTTGACCTCAAGTTTAATAACTTAAGTTCTTTCCAATAAGCTAGTTCAACTCTTTTGAAACTATTTTAGTGTAATAAACTATTATACGATTTTTAAAGATCGAGTTATGTACTAAGAAAATTATCATTTTGGGAAGGGTTTATACCTTGCATATTTCTTAGTTTGATAAATTTATTATCAATAATTGGAAATATTATTTATCTTGAGAAAATATGTGACTTGAAAAACTTGGTACAATAGACTATGTACTTGTTATGTGGTTTTTTTTTTTTTTTTTTTTTAAGGAAAATGATTTTTGCTACATCGGGCTATTTGTTTATAAGAACTATTTTGAATGTTCGGTCAAACTCATGAGGCAACCTACCTTTTGTTGATTGTTTTGTTCGGTTTGGAACGTTCCTAATTGCTCATTCCGAATCGTCGAGCTTGACTCATTCCGAATCGTCGAGTCTTTTGAATTATTTGTTGGAACGTTCCATCCGGCTCATTCTGAATCGTCGAGCCTGACTCATTTCGAATCGTCGAGTCTTTTTGGACCATTATACCGATAATGGCATGTGCCACATAATATAATGGTGGTTGTAGGTTGCCAATGAGTCATATGTTAAGGTTATGGTTTGTGCTTTTGAAAGTATTGTATTATGAAATACTGTTGATGCCCATGTAGCTAAAGTTTATAGTATGATGGAAGTATGTTATGATTTTGATATAATTTAAGGATTGAGTTTTGCATCTATTTATTACTCTAAAGTTTTTTGTATTCTATTGGGGCTACTTGATCCGGGGTTGAGAGGAGTACCACTTACTGGGCATTAGCTCATTATTTGTATTTTTCTCATGTTTCAGAGTAGTTAAGGACATGTGAATAGCACGAGCACAAGTGGTGGGGTCTCGAAGGTGACTTTTGAAACTTGGAGACTTAGTCCTAGTTTTGGAGATTATCATGGATTTTTGTTTATTTAGACTTTCCCTTTGACCCTTGTATTTTTGGTAGACCATTGTGCTTGGTTTTGGTGCTTGTGATGCATTTTGGGTATACTACTCTTGATTGTAAATATCTAATAGTGGATTTGATGAGTTTTTGGGAAGAACAAATCGATTATATTTTGTAATTTTGGGTTGTGGAATTATTGTATATTCAAGTGTTATTATGAAGATTCTGAAAGGTATGTATGGTTAGGCTTTGTATTGTTACAGGTCTTCACGTAACGATACGGCCGGGTCATGTCCTAGAAGTGGGGCGTGACAGAGTGGTATCAGAGCCTAGGTTTAAATCCTTAGTTTGTCAAGATGTTAAGTTTGAATTTTTGCAAGATTAGGCTTTAACCTAGTGGGTGATAAGTTTAGGCTTTGGGCAAATTTTTGATGTGATTTCCTAAACATTTTCGCTAATGTGGTCATACTTTCTCTGTTTTGAATTTAAGGAGTATTGCTTTACAAGGATCAGAGGGGGTGTTCCTAAATGTGGTTGAACTCATCGAGTTGGGCTATTGTTAAATGTGTCGCCTATTCGAAATATAGTTGTAGATGTTTTCATGTTGTGTGATTCAGGTTCTTCGCATTATTTTATTTATGAGAAGTTGCAAAGGATTTAAATTTGCAAGCTAAGAAGTTGAGTGATCATTTGTATGTTAATAACCGTATGGGGAAGATGGTGGTGACAGATACTTGGTTTCAAGATTGTCATCTACAAATTAATGGGAGTGATGTGTCAATTGATTTAATTCAGCTAGATATGCAGGATTTTGATGTAATATTAGCAATGGATTGGCTATCCAGAAACTATGCCACATTGATTGCGCTCGTTGGAATGTGGTATTTCAAATTCCTGGACAATCTATCTTTACTATAGGGACACTTACCTAGGAGTGGAGTGTTGGTTTCAGAAGTGCCATTGAAAGTAATTTCTGCATTGAAAGCTAAGAAAGAATTGGCAAAAGGGTGTAGCGGTTTCTTGACTTATGTAATGGATACCCACCAGAAAGAAGTTAAGTTAGATGATATCCTAGTTGTTAAGGAATTTCCATACGTGTTCCCAGAGCGTTTACATAGGTTACCTCTAGATAGAGAAATTGAGTTTGAAATAGAGGTTTTTCCGGAATTATTCCAATCTCAAAGGCCCCTTACCGCATGGCACCATCTGAGCTACGTGAGTTAAAGGTGCTAAATACCTTTCAAAAATTGATTTGAGATTAGGGTACCATCAGTTGAAGGTTAAAGCTAGTGATGTACCTAAAACTACTTTTAGGACCTGGTATGACCATTATGAATTTTTGGTGATGCCGTTTGGACTAACTAATGCTCCTACTTTCTTTATGGATTTAATGAATAGGGTCCTCAAGTCGTTTCTGGACAAATTTGTTGTGGTATTTATTGACGACATTTTGCAATATTCAAAGAGTGAGGAAGAACATGCTCAACATCTAAGGACCATCTTGCACACCTTGAAGGAAAATGAATTGTATGCCAAGCTAAGTAAATGTGAATTTTGGCATAAGGAGGTATCTTTTCTTGGTCATGTAATTTCTAGAGACGGGATTTCTGTAGACACAACTAAGGTTGAAGCAATAACACAATGGCCGAGACCCACTAATGTTACAGAAGTAAAGAGTTTTCTGGGTTTAGCAGGTTATTGCAAGAGATTTGTGAAAGACTTCTCATTAATAACTTTGTCATTGATTCAGTTAACTCGGAAGGGTATAAAGTTTAATTGGGATGAGGAGTGTGAGAAGAACTTTCAAGAATTAAAGGAATTATTGGTTAGTGCACCTATCTTAGCCCTATTATCTGGGGAAGAAAGATTTGTTATTTATAGTGATGCTTCAAGAAGCGGATTAGGATATGTGTTGATGCAAAATGATAAGGTGGTAGCCTATGCCTCTTGACAATTGAAGTCCCATGAAGTTAACAACCCCACTCATGACTTAGAACTAGCAGCTGTTGTTTTTGCTTTAAAAATTTGGAGGCACTACATGTATGGAGAATCTTGTCAAATATTTACAGGCCATAAGAGTTTGAAGTACCTCTTTACCCAAAACGAAATGAACATGAGACAACGACGATGGTTGGAGCTAATAAAAGAATATAACCTCACTATTAATTATCATCTATGTAAAGCTAACATGGTAGCTGGTGCTTTAAGTCGTAAGTTTTCCACGGTTAATGTGATAGTGGTAACTACTCAAACCCAATTGTTGAAAGATTTTCAAGATTTAGAAGTTGAGGTTATTTTGCAAAATAAGCAAGGAGGGATATTGGAAACTATGCTTACAAAATCGGTATTATTAGATCACATTAAAGTTGCCCAAGTTGATTAAGATTCGTGGAAAAAATACAATTTGGGTTATTGTGGATCGACTCACTAAGTTTGCACATTTTTCTACCCATTAAGAAGACCTAGCTAAGTTGTATGTGAATGAAGTTGTAAGGTTTCATGGTGTACCTGTTAGTATAGCATTTGACCGAAACTCTAGATTTGTGTCCAAATTTTGGAGAAGCTTATAATGAGCCATGGGGACTGAATTAAAATTAAGCACTGCATTTCATCCACAAACAGATGGGCAAACCGAGAGGACTATTCTGACCTTGGAGGATATGCTTCGAGCTTGTGGCTTGGATTTCAAGGGTAGTTGGAGTAAATACTTAACTTAAATTGAGTTTGCATATAACAATAACTAACAATCGAGTATAGGAATGTCACCCTTTGAAGCTTTATTTGGAAAGAAATGTAGATATCCTTTATATTAGGATGAAGTTGGAGAAAGAAAGATCTTAGAGCCAAAACCTGTACAACTCACATTTGAGAAGATTCAATTAATTCTCAAGACAGACAAAAGAGCTGGGCTAACTTGAAAAGAAGAAAATTGGAATTCAAAGTTGGAGATTTTGTGTATTTAAAAGTTTCACCATCTCGAAGAGTAATGAGGTTTGGAGAAAAAGGAAAACTATGTGCACATTACAGTGGACCATTTGAGATTTTGAGTAGAGTTGGTTATGAGCTAGCCCTACCACCACAACTAGCTGGAGTTCACAATGTATTCCATGTATCAATGCTACGAAGATACATTGCAGATCCGGGTCATGTTGTGGAGTATCAACCTTTGCAAGTTAGGGATGACTTAACTTAGGAAGAAGTACATCTTCGCATCATTGACTAAAAGCAACAAGTATTGAGGCCCTGAGTAATCCCCTTTGTTAAAGTGCAATGTTCACATCATACTCCAAGAGAAGCAACATGGGAAAAGGAAGATGATATGAAGGATAGATATCCTAAACTCTTCAAGTTTGATGGTATGTAAGTTTCGAGGACGAAACTTATTTTAAGGTGGGGAGATTGTAATACCCACTATCTTGGAAATAAAAATATACATATGTTATTAAAATAGGTCAACAAGTCAAAGGTTATTAAAATTGATATTGGATGAATTTACTAAATTACCCCTCTTTACCCTTAAAGGTTAAGGAACCACTTTGGTCTTGGATAAACATTCCATTTGAAAGAAGATAATGGGAGCTAACTAGAGAGAGGTAGGGGAACGAAAAACCTTGGAGCTTTGATCTCCATCTTCTTCAAGCTTAGATCTCAAAGCTATTGGAGTATTCTAGGTAAGTTTGACCTCTATATTTCACTCTTTGAGTTGGGTTTATCATTTGAGCCATAAGATTAATGTTTGAAAATATTAGGGATTTTGACAAGGAGTATTTGGGCGAGCTTTAATAGCTAAGATTTGGATGTTTTTAGGTAAGTGGTTAACTCTTCTCTCCTATTTTGCGAAACCCATGTATAACCTATTTTGAAATCTCTACTATTTTGAAAACCCATTTTAGGGTTAGTATGAGTTTAAAATATTTTGGGCTATGATATGTTTTTGGGTCTGAAAATACTGAGCTATGTATTCTGAAGCCTGGATTAAAATTGTTAAGCTGTATTCGGGATTGAATTTGTTTTTGGATCAGTCGGACTGTGTTTTAGACTGGAATATGATGGATTCTGGACGTAAGTTGTCACTATGTGTATTGATGGTGGATTGGTTAAGGCGTTGCTATGTAAGTGGATAGTTATGGGTTTGATTCTACTTGCTAGCATTCTATGTGTTTTTTTTTTTTGTATATATTATGCTTACAAAATGGATTATTTATTTAAATAAAAGTAGGATTGAACCCTTGACCTCAAGTTTAATAACTTAAGTTCTTTCCAATAAGCTAGTTCAACTCTTTTGAAACTATTTTTGTGTAATAAACTATTATACGATTTTTAAAGATCGAGTTATGTACTAAGAAAACTATCATTTTGGGAAGGGTTTATACCTTGCATATTTCTTAGTTTGATAAATTTATTATCAATAATTGGAAATATTATGTATCTTGAGAAAATATGTGACTTGAAAAACTTGGTACAATAGACTATGTACTTGTTATGTGGTTTTTTTTTTTTTTTTTTAAGGAAAATGATTTTTGCTACATCGGGCTATTTGTTTATAAGAACTATTTTGAATGTTCGGTCAAACTCATGAGGCAACCTACCTTTTGTTGATTGTTTTGTTCGGTTTGGAACATTCCTAATTGCTCATTCTGAATCGTCGAGCTTGACTCATTCCGAATCGTCGAGTCTTTTGAATTATTTGTTGGAACGTTCCATCCGGCTCATTCTGAATCGTCGAGCCTGACTCATCCCGAATCGTCGAGTCTTTTTGGACCATTATACCGATAATGGCATGTGCCACATAATATAATGGTGGTTTTAGGTTGCCAATGAGTCATATGTTAAGGTATGGTTTGTGCTTTTGAAAGTATTGTATTATGAAATACTGTTGATGCCCATGTAGCTAAAGTTTATAGTATGATGAAAGTATGTTATGATTTTGATATAATTTAAGGATTGAGTTTTGCATCTATTTATTACTCTAATGTTTTTTGTATTCTATTGGGGCCACTTGATCCGGGGTTGAGAGGAGTACCACTTACTGGGCATTAGCTCATTATTTGTATTTTTCTCATGTTTCAGAGTAGTTAAGGACATGTGAATAGCACGAGCACAAGTGGTGGGGTCTCGAAGGTGACTTTTGAAACTTGGAGACTTAGTCCTAGTTTTGGAGATTATCATGGATTTTTGTTTATTTAGACTTTCCCTTTGACCCTTGTATTTTTGGTAGACCATTGTGCTTGGTTTTGGTGCTTGTGATGCATTTTGGGTATACTACTCTTGATTGTAAATATCTAATAGTGGATTTGATGAGTTTTTGGGAAGAACAAGTCGATTATATTTTGTAATTTTGGGTTGTGGAATTATTGTATATTCAAGTGTTATTATGAAGATTCTGAAAGGTATGTATGGTTAGGCTTCGTATTGTTACAGGTCTTCACGTAACGATACGGCAGGGTCATGTCCTAGAAGTGGGACGTGACAACTATACTCAAACGATGCAACAAAAAGAAAAAAAAAAACCCGTACCTTCATATGACAATGCCATGGCAAGAAACTTCCACTAAAACTAGAAGGATGATGCATCAAAAGAAGAACACAATCCTACCATAAATTCATCACCAAAAATCAAACATGACATATGCATAAAATAATAGCAAGGTTTTAAATACACACAAATTGACTACACCACCCCTCAATTAAACATCCGAAAAGTAAAACCAAATTGCTTCAAGAAATCCAAGCCATTCACATCCTCAAGAAAGACATCCCAGATTTGTCCATAGTTCATATATATATATGTGTGTGTGTGGAATAATTTATATAGGATTAGGATACGCTAAGTGTAAACATATAAATATATATCGGATTAACATAGTTAAGGTACATATATGTATATTATTTAGGATTAGGATTGTATGTACAAAAGTACATATATAATAAATATTTAGGAAAATATATTTATATCCATCCATAACGTATATTTATGTAAATATGTATATTAGTTATCTAGGAATCAATGTGTATATGTACGTAACATATCTGTAGAAACATATATGTATTAGTTTAATAAATAGGAAATTAGTCATTAATACATAGTTTAGAAATAAAGGAGAGGGCCAAGAAATAAAAATAGTGAACTATTCCGAAGGATATTAATATATCAACCTAATACTAACAAAAATATCCGGGTTATCACACTCTACCTCCTTTAAAAGATGCTTCGTCCCCGAAGCATAGCCATAAAGCAACAAGGAACAAGGGAGACTCGACCAATAAGGAATTCAAGAGACTCAAACGAAAGTTCAAGACACCATAAAGATCACATATCACATTCTCCCCTCCTAAGAAATAATGTTATGTCCCCGTAACTTTCATGCAAACTCATGCAAGTACTTACCAAACTATAAGCAAATCAACTATCAAAATAACCTAACAATTACAATTAAGAAAAGTGAGCAAATATTAGCCAAATAAAATCACCGATTGCAAGTTCCAAAATATTTGTAATAACAAATATCGAAATAATGCACATTGATCAAATAATTTGGCAATAATATGCAAAGTCTCATATTCTCACCGCGCGTCCTAAGGTTCTCATATCCTAAGTACTTTAACACTTAAGGGGTGTTTGGTTGGATGAAAAATATTTGAAGGGAAATTGAATTGAAATTCCATGGAAAATAAATTCCAGGAAAATTGATTCAATTGTTTGGTTGATGAAAAGGAAATTACCGAGAATATGGATTCCATTGTTTGGTTGGGTTTAGAAAGATAAGGAATAATGAATATAAAGACCAATATGCCCTTAAAAAGATGAATAAATAAATAGGTGCCTATGTAATTAAAAAACTTTTATAAGGGTAAAACGGTACACACATGTTATAATTTTTCTTCCCAATCCTTGTGGAAAACAAAATCCCACCCCTTTGCAAGGAATTCATTTTCCAATGGAAAATGTTTTCCATCCAACCAAACAACATAAACCAACATTTTCCTTCACTTTTAGGAAAACATTTTTCATGGAAAATGTTTTCCATCCAACCAAACATCCCCTTAAGGCTTCACTAAGTATCTTAAAGTCTCGTCCTTTAGGCACTATCCTAAGTTCAAACCTAAGCTCTGATACCAACTGTAACACCCCTGATTTTTTTTTTTCCATATTTTAAACATTTTAAGCTTAAGAGATACGATAAAGTCTAACATTAATATAAGAATAAAGCGGAAGCTAAACATAATAGTTGAGGATGTTATGCCAAATCTAAGCTAAGAACTTAGATGCAAAGGCTACCAATCAACTAATCATAATCCATAAATCACAACTAAATAACGTAATGGCTCACAGGCCGTCAAAACTAAAGTCTAATACTAACTAAAACTAGGAATCACAGTTCTGTCTAGCGCGCTCTCGTATCTACAAGTCTGTACCTGAAAAACATATGGTGTAGTAACCATTAGCGAGAATTGCTAAGTAACCCACTCAAACGCGTTGAGTACAATATATATAGATATAAGAAAATCATTTTGAGACTTGGGAATACATAAGTATAATCTTAACAACTCTAGCTTTAAAATTATATCATTGACGCATTGGTGGATACACTCATCAACTTAATCAAACTCATGACATACCAGTAGACATGACACAATAAGACAACAATAGGATACAAGAATAAAAAACGGTAACCAAGTTACACGTTCCAAGTTCCAACCTTATACTAAGTTCTAACCTTTACACTGCTCCATCCTTATATCAGTTCCAACCTGTACCCCCGAGACCACCCTGTACACCAGTCCAACCTTATCCCTCCGGAGCCATGTTCCCCGCCTGCTTTTCCGCCTGCTTTTCATAAATATAATAATAATTGCACACGCAGCGCAATAACATGAGCACCGCAGTGCATCATCATAAGTACCGCAGTACATCATCATAAGCACCGCAGCGCATCATCCGCCAATCATTTTGAGCACGCAGCTCATTACCACCAATCTCATCACAATCATCACACATGGACATCAATCATAACATTTAAGGCTCAACAATGACATATTCAATGGATAATTAACATATTCAATGGATAATTAAAGAAAAATACGCTTACGTACAAGCTCACGACGACAAGTGACATCAAGATACTCATAAGACTCATAAGGAACATTATAGACTTTACTTTAAACTAACGGAATATCAAGTTAGACTACATACATATGATTCAAGACTCGCAAATCCTATTACGGTACTTAGGACATCGTTCTAGAGTTACGGAACATCAACGAAGGCACTTCAGCACACGGGAATCGACCAAACGGAGGCCAACGGACCACTGCGCATCACGTACCAGCAGGTGGTGCGTAGGGATGTCAATTGAACCCGCACCCGATGGGAAACCCGATTCCCCGCCCCTACGGGGACGGGGATGGGGACAGAACTAGGGGATAGGGGATGGGGATGGGGGCAATTTTGAATTCCCCGCCGGGGACGGGGGCGGAGATGTGGAGTACTCTCCCCGCCCCGCCCCGTCCCCGATATATATATATATATATATATATATATATATATATATATATATATATATATATATATATGTATATATATATATATTGCCACACAACACACACAAATGTAGTACTTTGTATACAATATATATAATTTTAGAAGTATTCTTGTCATTGTATGTCATGCATATTTTTAAATAAAATGTTTAATTGTAAAATATTGAATACAACTTTGAGTTGGGGATGAATATATATGCGTTATTTATTTAAATGTTTTTTAATATTTAATTTTTATTTTTTTTTATAACTTGTTAACGGGGTGGGGATTCCCCGTCCCCGAATAAACCCCGTGGGGATGGGGATGGGGGGAATTTTTCATTCCCCGGCGGGGATGGGAATGGGGACGGGGAATAGGAAGAAAGTCGGGGACGGGGATGGGGGGTATGTCCCCCGCCCCCACCCCGCCCCGTTGACATCCCTAGTGGTGCGATGGGTGGACGACCACCCGCCGACCCCTCGCCGAAAAAAGACTCCCGTACCAGCGGGTGGTTAGGTGGGGGTTCGACCCCCCACCGGCTACCCGATGGAACATGCACAATGGCGAATTTCCCACCTCGGGAATTAATCCAAAAACACCCAATTCCAAGTCCAAACACATCAAAACTCACATCAACAATAATAGGGACTTGAATATATGGAATTGCTCCACGAATAACATTAACAAATCCTAAATACAAACTCTAAACATGCATAAACACAATACAATAATATGCATATAATCACTCAAGAACATCAAAAAATCATAATACAACAAAGAAAATAGGTTTGTAAGACATGAGTTACGTCATTCGCTTAGCAATCCAAAAACAACGCCAATCTTAGGGATCCTGTGAATCAAATCGAACTTTCACTTAACAACATGTATACCAATCAAAATACATTAAACTATTAGGGAATTGAACTTTAGCGTATCCTAAGATTAATAGCACCCTTTACAAACTAAGCTTATCACCCTTTTGATCAACTAAAGGTAATTAAACCCTTACATAAACCAACACCCAAGCTCATAAGATAAAACTATTAATTAAAAGCCAACAAGGTTACAAACGACTAGGTGAGGGAAATGCATGTCGATAGTGGGTTTCTCAGATCCATAACATCTCAACAATCAAAGATAGTAGATTACAATAAAGGTGAGACTAAAGTTTTGAGTACAAGTAGTTTGTGTAAAATTCCTCTTGGTGAAGTTGATTTTGGGTGGGGCAAGCCAATATGGATTGGCATGCCTCAAACACTGTTGAACCTTGCTCTTTTCGTGGATACTGAAGATGGGGGAATAGAAGTGTGGATTGAGTTGGATCATGAAGTTATGTGCAATTTAGACAAGGACATGGAATTTCATGCATATGTGTCGTCTACCCACGTTGTTTATGAATCGTCTGGTCATCTAAGCAGTGCACTTTAAGTTAAGGCCAGCCGAAGGGAAAAGGGCAAATTATTGTGTGGACCATGAATATCAGGTACATTTTTAATATATTAAAAGTACATTATTTTTATACTGAAATACATTATTTTTGTACTGAAGGTACATTATATAAAATAATGTAGCCTGAGTATATTAAAAATGTATTTTTAAAAAATGTATCTTACATACATAAATAATGTACCCTTAATATATTAAAAATGTGTTTTTTTTTATATGGACCATGGTCCATGCAATAGTGATTGAGGGAAAGGAAGTGAAGTAGTCCTACACATATATGATTAGTTGGCCACTTTTAATTACTTTCCTATGCAATTTCCTTTAAATAACAAAATTCCATAACCAATGTCATTTAGAGCATCAGTTCTTCTTATCAAACAATGATCTTGATG